AATGCATTTCAACATGCAGTATATATATATATATATTTTATTTTTTTTTTTTTTTTTTTTTAATTGAAATATATTTTGAAATATATTGAATATGGCCAAAATTGTAGCATTTCAGATATATGGCAATATATTTGGGAAGACTATTTTTAAAATATATTTCAAATATATTTTTCTTCCATATGGGTTCTTCCACCCTGGCTCCTTGTATTCCTCAGCAACAATCAAAGCCTAGCAATCAAATCTCAAAAAAGAAGCAGCCCATCAAAGAGCCAACATTATTTTCCATCCACCCCTTCTTCTGGGAGCCCAGAGAAATCAAGGGTGAGGAAGGATGGTTTGGATTCTTCAAATGAGGTGAGGTCTATCCAGGATTCAGAAGATGACACTAGGGAGCTCCCTGACTCTATTGATAACGTCTCCACCAACAATCAGCCTGTACTTGATAACAACCCTTAAAGATATGCTTGTAACTTTGAGAAGCTCTCTGTATGCTGATATGATGCAATGTGTTCATAAATTTGGTACAGAGCTGCAGGCTGTTTCATCTAGGGTGGATCACATAGAAACAAAGAGGGGGAGGGGGAATTTGCCACAACAATAAATGATCTGATTGATGCTCATGATCACAAAGCAGAGGAAATGGATATCATTAAAGCTAAAATAGCAGATATTGAGGACAGACCTAGAAGGGATAATTTGAAAATTAGGGGGAATCCAGAAGCAGTCCAGCAAAATGATCTGTGAAAATATGTTGCTCAGATGTTCAGCGCTATTGTACTAGACCTATCAGATTTGGATCTCACTGTGGATAGGATCCATCGTTTTCCTAAGCCTTCTCATTTCCCTGACCATATCCCCAGAGATGTTATATTACGACTGCATTTTTTCCATGTGAAAGAACATCTAATGACCGCAGTCTATAACAGGGATCTTATTCCAAAACAATATAAAAATCTCCAATTTTATGCTGACTTGTCTCAATACATGCTTCAGAAGCATAAAAACCTCAGTACAATAACAAAAGCACTGAGCAATCACAAGATCAGCTATAAATGGGGATTCCATACAAAACTAACCGTCACTAAAGGTGGTACTGATTTTCTGATTGATGGCATGGCGAGGGGTTTAGCCCTTTTAAAGTATTGGAACAAACTACCTGAAACCCATCCTCAAACACCATCTACGAATGACCCCACCTGTATTGATCACAGCTGGCAGATGATCACATCCAAAAATTCACGTACCCCATAACTGACAATAAGTGGGAAATTTGATTTTACCTCCTTCTCAGTCCCTGCAATGAAGGAGCTCATAAGCTGGACTCTCCCCCTTTTACCATGAGTGGCGGAATGCTGCACCCAGGTCCCAAAGACCTGCATGTTCTTGTGGTATTTTTTTTTTTTCATTCATGTTCTGTTAATACTTTTTAATTTTGGTTTACAACTTACCTGTTTCAGTCAGAGCCTTCTATACCTTCACCATTACACCAGCTCGCTTGTTGATGATATTTTTCAGCAGTGACATCTATGCAACCAAAAGGGTGACTTACACATACTGGAAGACCCGTATGAGCATAGTAAAGGATGTTTCCGAGTTACACACCTATCAAGTTATACCTCAAACACACAATGGCGGTGAACTTTCACACTGTTAATGCAAGAGGACTGAATCACCCTGCAAAAATCAGGTCTTTATGGAAAGAGGCTACAAAGTTCAGCTGCAATGTCTTCTGTGTTCAAAAAACAAATTTCCAAAACCAAAAAGACCCTAAGTTCTCTGTTGCTAAATATCCTCACATCTTCCTGGCAAACGCGTATACTAAGAAAAGAGGTGTATTAACAGCTATAAGAGACTCTCACTTTTGCGTTCCACAGAGCCGTTACCACATTTTGGTTTGCGACATCAACTCTACCACATACACAGTGGCTAACATTTATTCCCCGAACAGGCACCAGATCAAATTTTTGAATAAAGTCTTAAAGAAGATCCATACAATACAACAAAGCTCTCTATTAGTTTGTGGAGATTTCAATCTCACACCCAATCCAAAGATAGACTCTACCACCGCTACCCAAAGGCACCAAGCATCATTACAACCACTAAAAAACAAATATTGTTTTTGGAAATAGCACACATTTATAGCAGGATTGCATACCATAAGTGTGGACTCACATACGTTAATTAAAATTAATTTAAAATTAATTAAAAATTATGTTATAATTAATTTTAATCATATATTGTATATGTATACAATTTTTGAGTTTCTTCACAAATTTTATCTAGTGGAGCGTGGCACATTCATTAGATTTTTTGATTATATTAACACACAAGTATGAGTATGTGTATGGTGTAGGCGATCCACTCATTCGATTTTCACATATTTATTTATGCCATTCACGGTCATGGATGTCAATCACTGGGTCCCGGGCCAGTATTTACCCGCCGGCGCCCGGTGATTACTGAGCATCTCCGCAGGGAGCAAGATTGTTTTGTTTACAAACAATCTTCCTCCTTTTCAGCTCGAGCACACTGCTCAGGATGGCTATGCACAGTACAGCCATCCCAATCAGTGTGCTTACAGTGAAGAACACACCCCCTGCCCCCTAGTAAAACACTCCCAGCACACAGTTAACCCTTTGATCACCCCTCACATTAACCCCTTCCTGCCCAGTGCCATTAGTACAGTTTCAGTGCTTTTTTGTAGCACTGATCATTGTATTGGTGTCACTGGGGTGTCAGTGACACCAAGTTAGTTCCCCCCAATTTCAGAATGTCTGCTGCAGTCCTGCAGTCCTGCTAAAAGTCGCTGATCGCCGCCATTACTAGTAGAAAAGAAAATCCTCAATAAGAAAGCTCAATTCATGGGAAAAAAAGGACATACATTTCATTTGGGTGCAGCATTGCATGACCACGCAATTGTCAGTTAAAGTAACGCAGAGCCGTAACGCAAAAAATGGCCTGGTCATGAAGGGGGGGTAAATCCTCAGGAGGGCAAGTGGTTAAAGCTCCAGTTGAAGCATGGCTTAATTTGTACAAAGCCCCATTTATACAACAAAAACGAATTTCTCTAAAATGTCCAATAACTGCTCTAGCGCTCCTCAAACCAGATATAAACCTTACAACATGGCAGTCGAAAAGGCATTTTAACCCTGGATGATTTATACATTGGCCCCGCTCTAAAAACCTTTTGGACACTGCAACTGGGGTACTCCCTGCCACTGAATACTTCAGGTATGCATAAATTTCCCACCTTATTCAGAATATTGGTACTCCGAATGCCGCAGTGCCCTGGAAAGTAGCCCAATACTTTCATTCAACTTCTACCAATACTACGGGCATCTCATTATTTTACTCTGTCCTTCAAGACAAAAACAAATTTGTCAAATCCCTTCTGATACTAGGGAAATGGATTTCAGAGGTGAGCACTCCATTGAGCATTGGAAGAAGGCACTTAGCTCCACATATATAGCTACTAAGAGTGTAAATCTTTGGGAAATGACACAAACAATATTGCTACATTGGTACTTGACTCCCTATAGGTTAGCTACGTTTTCCTCTGAAGTGTCTTCAACTTGCTGAAGGAGGTGTGGTTGTTCAGGAACCCTAATTCACATTATGGGGCCTGCCCGGAACTTTCCAGATTTTGGTCTGAGGTTTTCAGTCTTGTTGCCCAGATCTTGGGAGTTATTGTTCCGTTCACTCCGGGTATGGCTTTGTTAGCTTTGGGAATAGAGTCCACACCACCCATGTTTAGAACCATAATAATACATGTTCTGATGGCAGCATGCCTTACTATCATTAGACATTGGAAAGACCCAGGGGGCCCTAGGCCTTGGAGAAGTAATTCAAATAATTAATATCCATAGCTCTTACAAATTACTCTTTGCGTCTAGCATGGAGAGGTACAGTGTTGCTCTTAAAGTATGGCAGCCCTGGCTGCTAAGGTACTCACAGCTGAGGGACCCTACAATACTTACATCTTCACCATGAAATAGACACACTACTTATGGGACTCAGGCTGAGGCTAAATGTTATTTGACTCTAACTATTATATTGCTGTAAAACTGATCATTGTTGATGTTGTTGTATATCTAATCCAATATGGACTTCTCATCTGGGAGCCTAAACTTCATGTTAATAGACTCTCTTTCATGTTGAATGTATATGTTATTTTTTGATTACATTCTTTATATGTTTATACATAAAATCAATAATTGAAAAGAAAAAGAAAAAAAAAATTTGAATTAAAAATAATAATTTTCTCTAACATGATGTCACCAGTCAGTATCCCTGATAACCGTCATACAAGTCATATAATGATTCTGCACTGCCCTAGTGACAGCACGTAAAAAAAGTGTGAAGAAAAACAAATTTTAATTACTTTCTTCATTTTCCAAAACAAATTGTGACAAAAAATGACAACTTTAACCACCTCCCGCCTGCCAAATAGTAATATAACGGATGCAAGGTGGCTCTCTCGTTCTGGGAGGACATCATATGATGTCCTCCCATTCTAACCGCGCATGCGCTGCTCCCGGAGCACGCAGAGCGGCGATCGGCGGTGCGCTGTGTCCCTAGGACACAGCGGATTGCCGATCCACGGAAAGAGCCGAAGATGTCGGCTCGGTCATGTGATCAGCTGTGTCCAATCACAGCTGATCACATGTAAACAGGGAAATGCCAGTTACTGGCATTTCTCTTCTCTCGAGCTGTCACGCTGACAGAGGAGAGGAGAGCCGGTACCCGGCATTCCGCGAAGGGGACATGTACACTGATCATCAGGGCACTGATGATCAGTGTGCCCTGATGATCAGTGTAGCCCCAGCAGTGTCACCTGTCAGTGTCCATCAGTGCCATCTGTCAGTGCTCATCAGTGCCAAGTGCCAGTGCCCATCAGTGCCACATCAATGCCACATATCAGTGCCTACCAGTGCACATCAATGCCACATAACAATGCCCATCTGAGCTGCCTTTCAGTGTCACCCATCAGTGCCAGTCAGTGCTACCTATCAATGCCAATCAGTGCCACCTATCAATGCTGCCAATCAATGCCACCTCTCAGTGCCAGTCAGTGCCACCTATCAGTGCGCATCAGTGCCACCTATCAGTGCCCATCAGTGCTGCCTATCATTGCCCGTCAGTGCCGCCTAACAGTGCCAGTCAGTGCCACATATCAGTGCCAGTCAGTGCTGCCTATCAGTGCGCATCAGTGCCGCCTATCAGTGCCAGTCAGTGCCAACTAACAGTGCCAGTCAGTGCCACCTAACAGTGCCAGTCAGTGCCACCTATCAGTGCCGCCTATCAGTGCTGCATTTCAGTGCCCATCAGTGATGCCTGTCAATGCCAATCAGTGCCACCTACAAGTGCCTCCTCATCAGTGTCCATCAGTGCAGCCTATCAGTGCCCATCACTGCAGCATCATTAGTGCACATCAGTGAAGGAGAAAAACTTATTTACAAAATTTTATAACAAAGACAGAAAAGCGCACTTCCGCCTTCCACGGCCAGTGCATGCTCCGAAACGCATCGCAGTGCACCCTGGGATCTGACATCATCACTGCCACGCCGCCGCTACGTTCCAGCGTGCATTCCATCCGGATCTGAGGGAGGACGTGCACGCCGGCCGGTCTCACCGCTGTTACCCTCCAGCCACCACGCTGTTCCAGCCGAGAGCTGACCTCCCCACATCGCAGTAAGATGACGGCTCTTCACCCGGGTTACCACCCCACCGTTAACTATTGTTAACCACGGTTTTTTATGCTTATGATTACTTCACATATGTGAGTGTTTCTACATTTAGACTTGAATAAAAAGACTTTTTGCACTTAGAGGCGCTTCTCTCCTTTTCTCATCTACAGAAGTTGCTACAGCTTATTTGGAAGCCTTGCCCTCAGTGCCACACGGAATCCCACGCTCTTCATTCAGTAGCCACTAATACCACGATCACCCCATACTACCATTTCCCAGGACTTTGCAGTGTTTGCGCTGTTACAACCCTTCCTCATTTTTTCTGGAAGACTGCAATAAGACCATATAAACGGCATGTATAGAGGATTTTTTTTTTTCAAAATGCAAAATACCAGGGCATACTTTGGGGGATGGGGGGAAGGAAGGTGGGGGATTAAATGTCAAGAGTTCTGCTTTAAGGTAATATAGAGCCTTTTATAAAGCATTTTATAATAATCCTGTATAGCAAGAGATTTGCTCAAACTATACCTGCAGTGTTAACATATCACTTTATTTTATTAATTTTATTCCTAAAATATATGCTGTTACTTCTTGAAAAATAGCATGTGCCCTCACAACGTGTTCTATCCTGGAACAATATCTTGTTTTTTTTCCCTTACTAAAGTGCCTCCAACCAAAAACTATTAAAAGAAAGGCAGTTTTGACATGCTTTTTTTTTATTCAAATGCAGAATTCATGTCAAAGGAAACTTTTACATCAGTGACAAGGAAGCTTAAAACCCATCAGTTTGGAGGAAGGCTTGCTTGGTAAGACACAGTATATTTCCATTAAGTTAATCTAAAAGTCAGCCTTTTGTAATCCTAAGTATAATACATTAAAGCCTTTCAAGTGCAACTCAGCAAAATGCAGAATTTCATATCCCTACTTACTGCAGGCGCTCATTGCTAACTATTAAACATTTATATATTGTACAGGTTAAAGATGGGAAACACTCACAGTGATTAATTATGGATGATATTGGGAATATCTCGCCCTTCATCCTCTCATCCAGCCTGTAATGCAAGTTTTCCAAAAAGAAACATTTTAGAAGCATCGCTTTTTTTTTAGTCCCTATAAGGATTGTAAGCGTTTACAGCACTTTCAAGTTAAAGATGTGGATGTTCGTGCTATAAAAAAAGTGATAAATCTATTTAGGGATATATATATATATGAATTCTTCCTTTTTTTCTCTGTTTTATATAAAAGTGTCTATTTCTATTTTTGCTGATAAAAAGGGCATGAGTAGCTGGGCAAATACATTAAAATAAAATACTGTTAAGTGAGGAGCTGGTCTTTTGATGTGGCTTAACATGCTGCATTAGAAATACACAATTCATTTAAATAACATGCTAGGGGAATGTCTTCAATCTGCACACCAGTAAGATGTACTCCAGAAAAAGTGACATTTAGGGGAAAAAGTTAAAAAAAAAACGATTGCTGCTGAATGGCATTTTCCAGCAGACAGCCTGCTATTTATAAAATATAGCATAGGGTCCCCCTCCATACAGCCCCCTTATGCACTGGATGGAGGTATTGTTTACCAGATTACTCACTCCAGAAGGCTTCAGCACTCGTTTTACTCCCTGATGCTCCAGGTTTTGGGCTGTTCCTCAGCATCACCATGTACCATACACGACCATCACTCCTGCAATGTATGTGAGGAGGTGTGTGACTGTGTATGGGAGTATCTTAGAGAGGAACTTTTGGGGGACAAATTGCACAGATGGAAGGAAAAGGCTGGAGCAAATAATAAGACTTTGTCACACTTTACTCCTCTACCCCTAGAATTAAAAAGGATTTAACCTTGCCGTGTGCCGTGTGTGTGTGTGTGGGGGGGGGGGGAGTCACTGTAAGGGTAGTTTTTTTTCTTGTCCCTGGAGACTGGCTATAAATTACGTAGCTCACTTTAGTAAATGGCTATCTCTGAGGCATAAAGATTGCAAAAATGGCTGACTCTCAAAGCTAAGGCAAAGAACATTGTAAAAAAGATGGCATCTACGGATGGATAAGTTGCATTGCATTACATTTTTATTGTTGGGTTTAGATACACTTTAAATTTCAACATGATCAAAGACTTAAAATGTGTGTCTGTGTATCTTTATACATAAAGATACATACATGTCTTTGCTTCATTCTGAATGGTATTTTTTACACATGAAGATAGATTTATTTTCCGTAACAAAGAGTATATTGGGGTCACCTGGGAATATCTCAATATCGAGGACTCATTCCCTCTGTGAAGAAGATGGAACTGTGTCCTTTTATGAAAAGGGTAACCTGTCATGCTGAAGAGCACTCTGGACTAGGAGAGCAATTTCCTAGTTAGTATACCTTGACAGAACTTCAGAAGTGAATGCAATCACTAAAATTGATTCCTGTGCTACATTTATCTTCCTCACTGCAAGTACTTTTGAGGGATGGATTCCGGGATATGGCTGCTCCCAAGTACTATACATGCTGTGACCACAATTATTCACTACATTTCTTACAGTTAACATAAAAGTACTGCCTGGTGTTCTGTATTGCTGATTTTTCTGGATGTTCTTTTGTATTATTGTGTGAAGCCTGTGAACACAAAGGCAAATGTCCTGTTTCTGTCATAGACACAAGCACATACTTTTCACTGTGTTCCTAATCTCAAACACAATATAGTGGCTCTAGGTACCCACAGATTTGAGGTTAGTAGATTGTATGTAGTATTTATATGGGCCTCGACTTTTTGTTATCATAGTAATAAATAGAAAGAACCCCCCAGGAACTAGTACAGCATGAGAAAAAATAGGGTTAACGTTGACTAAGGGGTGGAATGGCTATAAAGCTTAAGGTGGCAGTAAACCCAATTTTGTATCTTCTAACTACAGGTAAGACTTTAATAATGCTTAGCCGTAGGTACTGTAAATATCTCCTAAACGTGCACCATTTAGTAATATTTATTGTAGAAGCGCCAATGATGTCACTTGCGCATGCGCTTTGTGCGCTCAAGTGGATGGCATTCCATCCATTCACTCCTGTGCACATGCGTGTGAGTGACAACATTGCGGCTTGGCAAATCAGATAGCTGCAGCTCATTAAAAACCACAAGGAAGATCAGGTGAAGATGGAAGCCTCAGGGAGCCATGACAGCGCTCGCTGGAGAGCTTTGTTTTCAGGTACAGTGAGTTTTTTTTAATGTGTTGGTATGCAATGCATACTAGCACATAATTCTCTAACTTGCAAGGAAGAGATTTTTTTGATTTTTTTCTGTGTTTACTGCCTCTTTAACGCCATGGAAAAAAAATATTTACCCTAATAGAGGGGTCCCCTCTCCACTGCAAGAGTTAATTGCTCATTTTGCTTAGGGAATGATTAATAAAGGTCATGTACTTACCGTGCCTCTTTCCTCTCTCCCTCAGGCTTCCTCCTCTTTGTGCGACCAGTCCCAACATTGTACTGCTGCACCTGCATTGTACAGAAGTATGCAGAGGGCCCACCCAAATTCCAAAGCATCGGACAGTGGAGGAAAGTAAAAGCTTCAGAGGGAGTAAGGGATACATTAAGTACTGTATATCTCCCAATTCATCATCCCCTAGGCAAAATGTGCAGTTAACCCATGCAGTGGGAAGGGGGAGCCACTGCATAGGTAAATCTTTTTCTCCTGACAGTTTAGCTTTAAAGTGGAAATGCGGGCTAGAACAAACCAAGCTTTAACCGAACCGTGCCACCCTCTTCTAACACCTATACTCACTGCCGTTGAGAAGGAAGGTCCTTATACTTACCTATTCTCAGGGTGCTTTGGTCTGATCAGCTTCAAGGAAGATGAGGGACTGCCAACAATGGATGCGCTATAGTAAGCCTATGGGTGACATCACTGTCCAGTTATTCCATCAGTTGTTGGCATTCTCTCCTCTCCCCTGAAGTCTACCACTAGGGAGGTCATATCACAGGACTGGAGATCTGTGAGCATAGGTAAGTATATGCAACGCTTGTTGTTAGACAGGTTAATTTGTTTTTTTTGTTGTTTGCTAACTGCCTGGCAGATTGAACTGGCTTTCTTATCCCCCTTTTTTGATAAGTGATACCTATCCATGTTCCTTGCTGAAAAGACATTTTTAGACTGGGATTGCTGACCAATGTTGTTTGTTAGCTGGCTGGCAAGTTGAACAGGGTAGCCCTATTTATTGTTCTCATACGATGTTTGTCCATGTTCACTGCTAAAAAAAGCCAGTTATAGACCTGGGGAGGTGACCAGTTTTTTTATTGTATTTTTTGAGGTTTGTGGGTGCAATGGATACCCTGGCTGCCATTGTGCTATATGCTGGGTGTTCAGTGCGCTCCTGTACCTTTAACAAGGGGTGAGCTCCCTCAGGTCCACCTGCCCTTGATCTATCCAATAAATGCATGTGCCTCTACTATGAGGACTCTCAAGATTTATAGAGTTAGGACCACAGAATATCAGGGTGCCATGATGTGGCTCTGTGGCTTACCTATTTATTTGCAAATGTGTGCTAACGAAACCCCTGTTTTTAAACGCATGTTGTTAGACAAGTTAATTTGTTTTTTTGTTGTTGGCTAACTGGCTGGCAGATTGAACTGGCTTTCTTATCCCCCTTTTTTGATAAGTGATACCTATC